GAGCGCGTGGCAAGATGTGACCGCCTGGCGATCGATATTGCTATGCGCACATCTCGCCACGCGCTCGAATTGGGCGGTAGGCCGGCCTAAGACAACGATTTTTAATAATTAATTACTCGTTAACTATTACGAAAATTGCAAAATGGTACAGGACTTTTCCGTTCATCTCGATCCGTTCTACGTTCTCAAAAATTTTGTCGGATATGGAAAGACTCACCCTGTATATAGAATCCTAATATACATATGTTTCGCATGCAGAGTGACTTGTGAGAAAAGATTAACAATATGAGAGTGACGATATATCGGTCACAGGGTGAGGAAAGAAAGCGCGTACGAGAATGTGCCCAATTCGGTTTCGGAATGGGAGTCGCAAAACGTGGCACGTGCTTTCGATAAAATTTCCCGGGCGTACATTTACATCTCCCGCGCTATAAACTCTATTAGAACATTACGGTTTTATGATTGCACGTGCGGCCGGATCATCCACTGGATCGATCGAATATGAACGTGCATGTGCACGTGTGTGGGTGGCTGTTGCGCCGCTCTATATATTATTTCAAGTGCGGTATCTATAATTCACATTCGTCTGTAACAATGCTGTCGACGTGTCTTGGATATATATCGTTCGACGTGCAATCGCGGGGCGCACAAATGCAAAGAAATATTTCTCCGCTTCCCTTTCAGGCTGCCTGCCAGCTGGCGATCGGTCAGCGGATACGTGGCCGTGATTGATCATCGGGACGAGAAGGATTTCATGTTTCGTCGCGGCGTGCGATTGCCAGGAAATCGAGTGTCACGGAAGAGACGCGCGATCATCGTCGGAAGATTGAATCTTGGCCGCGGGAAGATAATTAATTCTTATTGTTGATGGTCAAAAGCTACCGTCGCCAATATCTCTGCCCTCCGCCAAAGGTCCCGCTCAAAAATCTCACGAATAAAAATCGGGGTCTTCTACACTCTGGTACACTTTGGTAAAAATACCATACAGTCGCCAAAAATCGCCTAAAGCTACACTTTTGCACATACAACAATGGTCTCATCGGACCATAAAAATGACGGGTGTGCGGATGGGATTGACGCAAAACTAAACAGAAGACAGAGTGAGCCTATTAGTTGCACTATGTCTAACAGCGATTTCGGTTGCTTGCACTAGTGCGCACTGAGTGCACACTAAGGCTTGTTTATAGTCAGTTATATTTAACTTTGTCTTAAATGTTCAAAGAGAATTTAGTCAAAAAATGATCCCGTGTAAACGTTGCACGGGCCATTTTTCTGGATAAGAAATATTGCCAGAGGTGTTTAAGATGATCTTTAAATATAACAATCGCCTGGAAACGAGGCTTAGTGCGCACTAGCGAAACCAACCGAACTCGCTATAAACGACGCGGAGACACCAACGAATTAGCGGACTTGAAAATTAGCCGACTTGTGTCACGCGTTCGGACTCGCGTAATACGGCACGGGGACAACCGCGACGCGGAATCGTGCGATTTTATTAAGAGAGACCAAAAAAAAAGCTGGCTTTAACGACGAGACGAGTCGAGATTCCACGTAGAGATTCCCGAGGGCCTTCTCGCGGAAAATGAGTCTTGGTGTCTGGAACAGTATTCGCGGCATTTCCCGCGCCAACAATATAATAATGCCGAGGAATGACTAGCGAATGCGCGATTACAGTGAAATAGCGAGAATGCCTTGACGGGGCTCGGTCTGGCCACCAATTCCGCGCGCCTCTTCCAACCCCGTTCGATCGTTGAGCAAAATTCCGACTCGTATCGCACGCGCGAGCGTACATTATTATATGAGAAAGAGACTATGTGTGTATACTATATATGAAATTCAGCGTGAGGATATTGACGTTGGTATAATACGGGCCGTGTGCGTATGTATATGTTACACAATTAAGTCCATTGTGTGCCTCGCGCACGTGCGAGAGAGCCCAATAATTCCGAGAGATTGTTCGACTCGTCTATTGAACTCTACAGCACCGTCGATATCGCACGAGCCGTAATCGTCTCTACCGTCAATCAACCTGCTGGAGATCTCGCCGGCGACGTTGACGTTGACCAAATGGCAATCGAGAAAAGTATCCTCGCGGTTGTATGCGAGAGAACGTGACGCGTTTCCCAGAAACGAATATGAATTTTCCGAGTTACCGGAACGCGAAGTTTCTTTTCCGCAGAATGCGCGATATGATGTCTGAATTTTCAGGAGGATTAAAGCAATGAAACTAGAGCCGGCGAACAGATAACACGGTGGACTTTTTCCGGTGAATTGATAAAATTAAAGTCTCCTCTGATATGACTTTAGATAGGGAATACAATGCGCAATGGGATGAAAAAGATATTCAAGCTCATACGTTACATATTCAGTATTTAACTTGAGCTAATTTCAGTCCACCGATAACCCATGCTGGTAAATATAATAATTCAATTGTGTATCTAATAATCGGAAGATGAATCAAAGATGCATGTATCTCTTCAAAGCAACTGGTATATTTTAAGCTAAATATTATTCTAGCCGGTACAACGTCGGTATAACGGAGCCAGCCATCGGCTGTGCATACATTCTTGTGTGCACTATATGAATAACAATAGCACCGTTTCTTCCACTCTAGCAATGTAAGCAGAATATTACAATATTACGATAAACGCCTCTCACGTATGTATCGTGAAACGGAAGCGAAGGTAAATGGGAAATGACGGGATTGATCGAGTATTTAATTAACAATCCTCATTTTCAGCCGAGCGTTTAGATAGCGTCGAGTTGAATAAAAAAAAGAGAAGTTAAAAAACGGAGACGTACTTTACCACTGATAAAAATGGACATCTAGATATTTGCAGTGCAAGCCGGCCGATATTTTTTCGCCACGTTAAATGTTATCTCGACACGCTATTTTCCTCCTTCCGCTCGAACGATTAACGTTACCGAAATTTGAGATTGATATCCCTTCTCGAATGAGCTTCCTGGCCTCTTTGGCACCTGGCCCTTTTCGTTAATCGATCCTTCAATATAGCGCGACGTAAATGGGTTTCGGGTTCAAAAACGGAGAAAGCTACGGACACTTTCGGGAATGTATTGAATTTCTTAATTGCGACGTGCCGTTTTAATGTCGTGCGCTGTTCTCACGGCAGGCAAGTTACTGAAAAATCTTCGCGCACAACTTCTCGCGCAGAATATTGCGTATATAATTTAAAACGATAAAGCACAAAAAATAATGTTAATTTACTGACGTGAGGTTAATCAAATGTGCGAATTTACGTGGATACACTGTGAAAAAAGTATGTAAAATTACATACGTAATAAGTGTAGCGATTACGCTACTAATAACCGAAATATATACATTTATGTACTTTCACAAAATTTTTTACTCTGTTGCGTAAATATTTGTCTGCACTTGATCAAAAGTACAAAAAAAATTGTAAAATTTAAAGGCAAGCAGTTTACTTATTATATAAGGTAATAATTTCACCTACAAGGTGTAAATTTACTGACGCACGTAAATATACACCTTTAATAGACGACTCCAATATTACCCAGTATAATAGTTGCAACTTTACATGTACTTTTTTTTACAGTGTAGAATCGTAGCGTTGACATGTTAATGGCAATATTGGAACGGCATCAAAGTTTGTTCTTAACTCGCTTTCCCTTTTGTTACTCGTGCTGTTCACTTTGTTATAAATTTGTACACGCACAAATATTAATGTAGAGCGTGTCGGAAGTGTATGCATAATTTCGCATTTACCTTGCACTCCTGGTCTACATTGTTCAACTTATTAATCAACTAATCTGTATATTCTAAGTCTTTCTTATTTCTCTCCAAAGTTCGGTGCAATTTGATTGGAAGATCAATATGACGTTTCGTGTTTTCCTTTCGATACGTACATGTATCGAAATATATTTGATAATATATATAATACATAAATCTATCCACGTGCGGAATCAATAAGAGATACACGTTGCTGCGATATTTCTAAAATGGAAGCACAATGGTATGACTTTTTGTCAATCGTCCATTTCTTTGTGTACTTATATTTTTCTTCCAACATTGTGTTCCATCAGTGAAATATTATTTCCTGTAGTTGCACTCTTCACTTTTTACTGCATTTTCAAAAATATTTTAGCTGCACGCTGAACTCCCATCGCGAGTACAATTAAAACTTTCTACTTTCTCCAATCAATTCGTTAAAAAATAAAACCTTAGCGCGTAGAGATTGTAAAATTTAAATAATAACACATACAATAAAAGAGTAAAATAAAATCTCGCGAGAATTGTAAAATACTATTCGCGCGAAATGGTCTTCGAATAAAAAAAAAAAAGGGGGATTCATTATCGAATGACAATGTCGCGTAACGAAACTGAACAAGTTTGAAGCGTGAATGGAGTAAAAAGAAATGTCCCCGAGTCTTTCGGAATAAAACGACTCGCGGGACAACGTTGCGTCGCGACGCGGGAATTCTGGAAGAGATTTGGATGCTTACCCAACGGTCACGTCGAAGATGTTACTGCCGACGGAACTCGACACGGCCATGTCGCCGTATCCCTTTCGCGCCACGATGACGCTCGTGATGAGGTCCGGTATGCTGGTACCAGCTGCGAGGAACGTCAGGCCCATCACTTCCGGCGGTATGGCCACTGTGTCGCCGGCGACATTCGCCCACCAGACCATCAGGTACGAGTACGCCGCGATCCAGACGATCGAGCCGATGAACGTTACCGGGAAGAACTTTTTCCCTGGAAATCAAGCGCGTGGATGCGCGGTATCTGTTAGACATTCCCTGCGGTTCCTGCGGAGATTACCATTGATCGTCGCCGGAGGACCAACGTCAATGTCGGAAGTGACTTTGCAATTTTTCCCGCGGGAGCCGCGAATCGTAAAGACAAGACCAGGGTTTGCGATAGCGCGGGGTGTTTCTTTGCCCGCGGGATTATGCAGTCAGCCACGTGGCGCCAGCGTTTTATTCGCATCGCTCGGTTGTACTTTCCATTAACGGAAGTAGTTTAAGTATGCTAAGTGTGTTTGGTCGATTACCATTCTGATATCGTTGCGAGACACTGGCTGACTAGAGTACGCAGTACGAATTTGAAAAATAGTTGCTTTTACGTGCGAAAGAGTGGACGAGAGTATGAAATGTGCATTTTGATAGAAACATTTTTTTAAAATCAAGCATATATCGACGCAAAATAGAATTTGAATGGAAGAATGTACAATTGAAAGGCGTTTGCGAAGTATCGTTAAAAGTTGTTAAAAACAATTTCCGATAAATCGCATCTTTTCTTAACCCTTTGAAGAATGGCGGTAAAGGCCTTTGCACGTAAAAAAGCATTAACCGTAACTGTAATTTTAGTCCATAACCTACGGAACCTACGTAATTTTAGTCCGTAACCTTCGGAATTTTACTTGGGTTGCTCCATCTGTCTGTACGTGTTGAAAACTACGATTACGGACTAAAATTACGGTTACGGTTAACGCTTTTTTACGTGCAAAGGCCTTAACCCACGTTACCTCAAATTCTTTACTTTTTGCCCATTTAATTTCTAGTTAACGCATTTAGGTCGAGTTTTGTGCATTTTTTGGGGTATCTTTTAGCGATAAAAGAACACTTTACAAATAAGAATCTCTGAAATCGGCAAATTTTGCGCTATTTTTTATATTCTATAAAATTTGAATTCCATCTTGAATCCGCTATATTGAACTATGAAAAATCTGATAACGGGTTCGTAATCAGCGACCCCAAAAACCCTCGTGTACAAAGTTTCACAAAAAATGGTTCAATAGAACAATGTGTGCCTCAAAGGGTTAACTGATATAACAGTAGGCGAAGTCGTTCTCAGCCAGTCAGAACCGTCAGTTCGCAAACTTTAATGCCGCATTTACGTGCTTTGACGCTACAACGACGAGAATGAAGCTCGAGATATCTAATCCGTCTCGTAATCTAATCCTAATGACCGAATCTCGAGGTTTAATTCAAGAGTGACGGAAGGCTGCAGCTCCGAATGATTTTCGGGGAAATCTAATGTATATCGTGCGGATCTAATGTTACACAACTTTCTCGCACAGGCGTCCTCAACATTGACTTGTAATTATAATTGCGACAGTCTCTGTAGCAAAACACGGAGATACAAAACAAAAGTTCTCCCCCCCCCCCCCCTATTAAATTGTTTCTCATATTAATTTTGTAATCTGGATAAATGCAGGCGCGCAATGAAAGAGCTATGCGATAACTAATTCGCTTAATTTAAGTGAGATTAATTAAGTTTAGCCCGGGCAGTTTTAATTATTCGAGAAAAGAGTTACACCATGAAAGTAAATCTTAATTTGGCGCGCGCAAGTGGTCGCATTCTCGTTGAATCTGAGCGACAATATTATTTGCTAACGTTTTCATTAGTTGTACCAAGCTTATTGATATGTCGCAACGACGACTGCTTTACGTAGTATTTTCGTGGAGTCAAAACTCATCGGGGCTAAAGGAAATCGGGGGAAAGCGTATCAACGTCTGTGAAAAAGCGAACGAAACTTTGCGCGACTTGATTTATCGCGAATTTTCAACTACCTGTACAAATATTGACAGACAAGTGGCCTAACGATCTTTGATTGTCTTAATAATTGATTGCGATAACATTCATATTAATAGATGTGCAATCAAAGGCCGAGGTTGCTGAAATTCAAAGGACATATCGGAATTTTAGCTGACAATGGAGTCAGCACCGAGCACGTACGTACGGCCATCTATGCGTCTGTACATGTGCAACAATCAGTCCCCAATGCGAAATTAGCGTGTCAATATCATCTTTCGCCGTATTGTGCAACATCGCGATAGAAACGCGTTAATAGGCCGAGATAATGCAGGGGACACGTGATAAATGGTGCTTTTCAACAACGGCGTGTGCCGCCCGGAGGTTGATCTTAACATTTATTATTAAATCGATACGCGGCGTGCGCCGAAACCGACGACGTCGTAGACCACCCCGCTCATTCTCGCTTCTCCCGCTAAGGCCTTGCACTCTGGGGGGAAAAAAGACAGCAGCCCATTTTGGGGCCCACAATTAGTAATCGAATTATTTGGATTGTTCGTAACTCTAATCCCTTACGAATTTTACCCCGCGTAACTAAGAATCGCAATTAGCTATTCTATCGATATCCAAGATTTTAAGGTAACGCTAATCGATTCTCTCAATTAGCTCTGTCGATATTGAGTAACGCAACGATAACTTTCGCTTAAGAGGCACTAACCGAAATGTTAGGTTGCTCGAGGGGATGTTGGAGACGCTCTTGCACCTTTTGCACTTAAAACTGTCTGTTTCGCGAAAACATTCGTGTAATATACAAATTAAATGGCTTACGTGTATTAGCAGCTTGCTATTCCGGCTAAATTAAAGAACAATATGGCATCACTGAAGCTAAGTTTGTAAGTCTAATAAGAAATAATAGTAAGCAATATATGTAGTATGTGTGTTGCTCTATTATTTTTTATTAGATTTACAAACTTAGTTTCATTGATGCCATATTGTTCTTTCATTTAGCCAGAATAGCAAGCTGCTTTCTATCTATACACGTAAGCCGTTTAACTTGTATATTACACAAATGTTTCCGTCAACTGACAGACAACACGTCGCATGTCGCTGTCGGGTATCGGGACGTAGCAGACGGTCTCTTTTGCAAAGAAATTTTCTCATTAATCCAAATCGTAGTAACGGCTCTCGATAAAACAACTATTGAGGGAGAAAGGGCCAATGCGAGCCAACCGCAGGGCGAAATGATCCAAAGTGTAACTTTCAAATCAATTGATTAAAATATCCAAACGTTTCGATCCATTCTCGGGTCATCCTCAGCGAAGCTGGGATCAAAAAATAATACGCGGTGTTAGAAAAACCTTAATGTAAAAATTTTTTGGTTTGCAAATAAGAACAATAAATTTAACACCTGAATAGACAAATAACATACGACGCTTAAAGGACTACTGTCATCGAGAGTTATCCTCCGACAAGTTCAAAAAGTTCTCTAAATGGTGATTGCCAAAGAAGGAGTGAGAAGCTACGTTTTAACATTTCTAAGAGAACAAAGTGAATTTCAACTAACAAGAGTTCTTCAATGTCGCCAGCGATAATTAACAACGTCAGTGTTTTCTTGGCCATACCTGGCACTTTTCAATAATACAGAAAGTTCATCGCGAAAATTCACTGCAAAAAAGTCGAAATAGACGCGTAGGCAACATCTTTATACTGTTATTGCGATAAATATTATGCCTCGGTGGTGTCGAATCGGTGAGACGCCCGCCCAGAGTGCAGGGAGGTCCAGGTTCAAACCCTGGCTGAGGTAAGATTTTTCGCAATAAATTTTCTGTATTGTTAAAAAGCGCCAGGTATGGTCGAGAAATAGTGAATTTCGTTGAAAAGTTCGTTGGGAAATAAAATTTTCTCATTAAACTATCGGCTACGTCCCGACGTACGACGTATCGTAGGACAGGCCTGAGCGGCCGAGTTGTGCCGTCGCAACGTCTTCGAAGGACCCGCCATCGACGCTCTCGTTTAAAGAGAAATGTCTTATCTCCTTTCTTTACTGCTAATCTCTCGAGAAAATTACACGTCGAGACGGCGATAAGAGGGTGCAGCTTGGGCAAAGCGCAAACTCATCAAGTTAACTGTAAGTGCCGTTTAATTAGTCTCTTGTATTGATTTCCACCTCGGCGAAATCGATGGCTTGGAATCCCGAATTCCCGGAGAGTTGAGTTAATATTACCGCGGGGTCGATACCGGGCGGGGGCAAAACATCGCGCGACGTTTCAGCTGATTGATAGGATTTAATCTGATCCTGACGTTTTCGGCGGGATTGAAAAAAAAAATGCACGCGCCGATCTCGAGTTTTTTTTCCCCCCCCCGGCCGTAATTAATGGCGCATTCGCCGCGCTTTTCCGCACCTCCTTCCGTGTCCGTTCAGTTAATATTCCCAGCGCGCGGATAAGTCCGTCATTCATCAGCGAAGCGAGGCGTTAGATATGCGTGCGATTAAAACTCACAATCAAGTAGGAAATTCTGATATCACGTAAGCTTGTTGGATCCCGGCGACTTTCATTCCTTAAGTAATATGTAGATCGGATATCTATCGCGGCTCACAATTTATTGCGGTCGAGCGCGAATGGGGAGGATACACGTGAATACACGTATATTCTCCTTTAATATTAATGAGTTGCGAAATTGGAGTGGAAATTATCTTGATACATTGCCTACGTCTTAATAACGCCGTCCCATTCTCAAAGAATAGAGGCGAAGAGCGCGGGTGGAATGAAGATGGAAAGCGGAGCGGAAGGCACTGAGCCCGCAAGCTCGTAGACGTATTTGCCGATTAAAAATACTTTTGATAGATTAAATTCCCCGTCCTTGAAGGCTCGCGTATTCGTTTCATAAATATCCTAATTGACTTTTCAAGGAGAAACGGAGTTTAGGTCTCGCAGATGCAAGATATGTAAATGAAACTGCTTAATCGCTCTTGCGCTTAACAAAAGGTCTTGCTTTTGTCTTTGCTCCAGTTTTCATTTCAAGACCGATTATCCCGTTAGTGTGGCGAAACCTAATATTACTATCCGAACAGCCAGCGGTGAAAACATTGAAAGAGAAGGCCGTCGGATGAGGCATTGGCGTTGGCGCAAATATTCGGCCGCATCCCATCGATCAAATGGCTGGGGAAATTTAGTTTCACTTTTCGCAAAGCTATTGCATTAAGTTTTATATAGATATCTATATTTATTCAATATAAATGTGGGTATGTGCGCGCGCGCGCGCGCGTTTGTGTTCATTTCGCGAAATCAGAAAGAAATTACACAAACGCATAATTTTCTTAATCTTTTGTACTATACATTGCACGAAAACCCTTTCGAAACCGAGAAAAGATGATATTAGAAATCGGAAGATATTATCCGAGTGAAAAATGAGTTGTGACTTGTACACGGAGAGAATTGTTTCTTAAAATTGATGAGAGTTTTTCGAAATTGTACTAGTAAAATGTGTGCTAAAATCTCGAAAAACTCTCATAAAATTCTTGGAAGTGCCGTGTTTCACGATCACACGATTTTCCGAGAACTGATAGATTTCGAGAGAAAACTCCGCGTAGATTGATTGAACCTACACGAGCCGAATAGGAAGATGATCATTGGTTACCTCTAGGTGTTCTCGTATCCGGTAACGTCAACCAAAGAGGAAATAAGATTGGCGCGACCAAAATGTAAGTTAGCCTTTTTCTCGGGCTGCTTGGCCAGCCCATGTTCAAGGCCTCTGGAGGTTCATCCTCTTCGCCCTGCGAACAAATGTTACAAAAAGAGAGATGAGATCCCTCTGGCCGATCATCTTTTTCATAACTTAGTTTCGCAATCGGTCTAAAGTATTCGCAGGTCCAATTTACTTAATTAACGCTGCGCGGGCTGCAACGTTTATTGTTGTCCCGAACAATGCGAATGAAACGTTTATATGCCTTGTTGAACGATGTTACGAAATTCAAAGATCTAATAACCAGTTAATTACAAAGGTATGAAGTATCATTCTGTTGTACGGTCTCGTTGCAAACCGCGGCAGAATGCCACGAAGCATATTTGTTAAGTATCATCATCAGCACAGTCGCATTCAAGAACGAAATAGACGTAGTACCTTTTGTGCACTGGACTAATCCTCCTTTTGAATGTTTGTACATTGGCAGAGATCGACATTAAAAGGCGGCGTTTGCTAAAGAGGAGAAGTCGCCCCCGAGTTAACGTGGGAGATTGATCCTAATTAACGAGTGACGAAAGGAGGTTTCGAGAGTACAACGCGATTGACGGTGCGTACTCAAGTTAACGGTGTATCGATCTTTAATAAGTAATACGATTACATAATTATAAATCGGACGTTTCGGCTCCGCTTTGAGACATCTTAGCGACGCGGCAACAATTGGATCGAAATGACGAAGTGAGTAACCTCGATTTCTCGCCGGGGAACGTGAGATCATTTCGGTTTAATTATTACCGCGTCGCTGAAGATGGCTCAGAGCGGAGCCGAAACGTTCGATTCATAGAGTCCGCGTCTTATCTTAATTCCCAACATTTGTTAATTACAGTGGCGACGCCCTCGTTATTACAGATTATTTAGTTTTCAACGAATCTATCGTGTCGAACTCTTTTCACTTGTTAATTTCGTGATCGAAAGTGCCCCGTTATTTATTGGATTTATTTAGTTTAAAACTAAATAATCTGTGTAACGAGGGAATTGCCGCTGTAATTAACAAACGTTGAGAATTAAGATAAGACCCGGAAGTTTTTACAGCGCGCAACTTTCTTCGAGGACGATTAATCTCGAGTCTCGTCACTCTGTTGTGAACTTAAGCTACTCGCCGGACCGAATCATCGCGCGAGCTTTTCCCGGCGCATCGCGCGTTGTTCCCACAAATTCGCAAACTTTCGTGGAAAATCACAGGGTTGGTGACTTTCCTCCGATTATCCGTGGGAAGCGCAAGTGAGGCTGCAAATGCGCAGCGGACGGGCGAGAGATGCAGCATTGACCCAGATTCGCCGATGCATTCAAAATGAAAAGGCCCCTCTCTTCGGTCATTTAGGACAAAGCCGCCTGAGACTACTCGCTCCGTCCACGCGCCGCGATACCAGCCCCAGTGCCGGCTAATATTCTCGAGAGGACTCCGGATAGTCAAGTTCCGATTTATATTTCCGCAGAGTAGCTCTCCGAATTGCAACGACGATTACACGCCGCTCGGGGGGGGGGGGGGGGGAAATTGTCTCGACGTTCTCTGACAGTTCTCTTTGCGTCATCGTAACGATTGGCGCAACAACGATCGAACAAGAGTTCTTTTATACTATCGTTGCGAAAGCGCAGCTTTCTCTTTTACACGGCTCTTTTAAACGTTAAATGAGTGCCTGTCGGTGTAAATTAGTACTGTAAATCTTTTTCACTCGCATTATGCTAATCAAAAGCGTCGCGTTTTTATATTTCCTGTTTAATTTTCAAGCGAATTTCACGTGAAAGTGGCATTTTTTCCCGCAAATGCCGTATGCTCGATTACTATATTCGACACATGCCGATTGGCCTTTTAATTAAGAAATGCCAATTGATTATCGTTAATATGGGGGAAAATATTAAAGTTATATCAATCTTCAATTAAAAACATTTACTCCATTTACTACTAATGTAAAAAAAATGTATTTTCGTACGTGTGTCACGTAATTTACGTCTCCCTTTCATCGGGTAACAAAGAGCGTTAAGATGGAACAGCGCACTGCAAAACTGCGACTATCTTTTTAACGGAAGCCCACAGGATATCGCCGATTCAATCAGATTTGCCTGAGTAGATCTTAGTCGAAGAATCATAAAAAAAAGAAGCGAAGGGCGATGCCGGATAAGATTCGATACGGGGGACGTGCCACGCTTACATGCGATGCATTTTTTAAGTGAGTATCTCGCGTGGTATACGTGATAAATGTTAATGTAGCGATAAAAGCTCGAATGTTTGACGCAAGAAAATGACACGACGCGAACTATCGATTTAAACCGAGGGTCGAGCACGGCACGGCAATTTGTTGCCGGCGACTACTGATTCGCTTTACCGCCACAATCCTTTTTTAATTAGAACAAAAATCAGCCGCGCGTTCGTATTTTATCACGATTATCCGGCGCTTTGGCGAAAATTTTCTTTCGCGTAATTAAAAGTCGATCTAATATTTATGTTTAGCGGCTTCCAGCGGCTCAGCTGAAACGTTAAGGGATCCCTCAGCCATCTTTTTTTTACCGACACAGTCAAATGTAGTTTTTGCACTTGTAATTCTTTTATTGGCGCTTTTACGCACAGAATAATACCAGGGTAAGTTGCGGACCGCATAGCCGAATATTTTAATACTTGAAACACTATGCTTAGAAGTCTAATAAAAAAGAAATTGGTATTTGAAATTTTCAATTTGTAGTTCGTCCTAAATTCGAAATTGGCTTTATAACATTGCAAAATTCTCCCACGCGATTAAAGTACGCATAAAGACAAAACCAGGGACGTTATACGTGTTTTAATCGTGTGGAAGAATGTTGCAATTTTAGCCAATTTCGAATTTAGCACGAACTACGAATTGAAAATTTCAAATACCGATTTCGTTTTTATTAGACTTCCCTGACCCGAGTGGTTTAGGTATGAAAATGTTCTGCTATGCGGTCCGCGACTTGTCCTGGTGTTATTTTGTGCACAAAAGCCAATGAAAAGAATTACAAGCGTGCAAAAACTATATTTGACTGTGTCGGTAAAAAAGGTGGCTGAGGGATCCTCAAGCGGATCGAAAGCGGGATTTCTATTTTGTCCCCGTTATCGGATCTGTAATTCGCGACGTCGCATCAGGATCCTTCGAAGACCGCGGAGAGTCACCGAAGGCGAGATGGGGCAGCGATAAAACGACTCGTCCAAGTTGGAGGCCAACGCGACGGGAAATGAGGAGCCCTCGAATATATATGCGTTCCTATCGCGCGCTACGTGCCATGCCGTCGGGAAGAATTATTGAATATTTATCTCCGTCCGCGTCAGGGCGGGTAGAATTCTACGCCGATATCATCTGACGAGCAATACCGCTCGTTGCGTTTGTTACTCTTCTTATTGTATCGATTGCTCGCCGGCCGTTCCTTCCCCGAGGGAAGGTGAGAACAAATTTTTTCCGTCGCGGGAACGACGCGTCAAACGATGGGTGAAAAACTTATTGACCGTCAGCCTCTGTTCTTTTTTTTCTTCCCTCCTTTGACAGAGACGCGCGCGCGCCCAATCACGCAGGCCCGATCGGGCTGATTGCGAGATCCGATCGAATTTCTCCGCGAGGGACGCGGAGCCCGGCCCTCTCTCTCTCTCTCTCCTCGCGTATTTCATTCCGCGCGACGCGGCGCGTCGGATTTCGACGCAGGCAAAATAACCTTGGGTGAACTTTTCAAGTTTTCGAAGCCGACAAATATCGAGCGGCGCTCTGATTTACGATCACCAAGTTCGCGGGTGAAAATTGCGGTTGTCCCGATAAGACCTAATGGATGAACACCGCGCCGATTTATACTCGCGCGTAAAGCTAACTTTGATTACTCTGGGGACTCACCCCTAGCTATTACTCCGCGGGCCGTTTACGAGCATGATATTCGGCGGGCTAAATAGGAAGCGATATTGATTGTTTTAAATTTGGCCCAGGTAGTGACGTGATTTCGTAAGAAACGCGTGGGTACCGCGGTTATTAATTCTACTTACGGAAATCTTTTGTCGCCATTTGAAACACTCTAATCGATTGACTTTGTCTTAATCGCCGTCCCCCCGCGCGCTGGCTTTTCCCCGTAAACGATTGAAATGCTGAAACTTTTATACAGCAAGGTTGTTTCGTCCTGGTTTTACGCGATAAAATGAAGACGGTCCGAAATATATAGAGCACATCCATAACGACGTTCGACGTGCAGGTTAAAAAGGATTACTTCGCGTGATTCGCAGTATTGTGGGAATTAAACTGCCTATTCTAATTCAGGATATCCAAGTCGTGATAGAAGCAAACATTTCACAATGGAAAGTAGAACGTTACGATATCGAACTAACGTGCCCTTTTGCAATGCGTGCTCCAAGGAGCGCGACAGCCATCACCAAGTTATACTAATCCTAAAATTAGCCTATCGTACTAATTTATCGGGTCGGAAGTTATTTTTCCCTCGGAATATTCTTGAGCGATCATCGGAAAATAGCGAGGGCTCGAACGAGTCACGAGAAATGCGACGACAGATACGCTACCAGCAAATCAAGCGTTTTGTCAAGAAAAGTGGAACGACAAATTCCAATCAACGTGCTCGCGGCCTCTTTGTTTTACGACGGCAGGGCGTGCAGGGCACGGGCGATGCCGAAACTATTCCAATCTCTCGGCCCGGGGTACACCGTATAACGAATCGGATCGTAGATCCTTCTACCCACATACGGCTCTTTCCTTCACTTGCAGAAATCAACGAAGGATCATTTATAACTCGCGGACGTACCGATCGATTTCAGCAAACGACACAACCTCGTTATTGTTTGCAGCAACGTTTTTGTTCCTCCTCCTTACGTCTGCAAGATTGTACAGCAAACACATGTATAGGTGCGACAGCAAACCGTTTGCCGTGATTTAGAAATTTATAAGTTATGGCGACAAAATATTTCTAGCAAAATATTAGCGAAAATGTTTTTTTTTCCCCAGCGTGGGAAGTAAATGTCGTATTCTGATTTCGGATAGACGCGACATACGAAAAAGAGAAATCGTCATGCGAAAATGAACGCAATTTAATAGTCCTGATGCCCGCGACGATGCCGGGAATCGACGAGTCTGTCGCGCGAATTCTTGGCGCTGGCATTTCTTGCATTCGATACTTGCCGAATCGAGTCCAGCGTCGAGACCGGCGGCGATACCGCCGTTCGGAAGTTCCTGAATACCGGCGGTGGTGCCGGCGGTGGTCGTCGTAGTCGTGGTGGTGGTGGTGCCCTGCGAGCCTTGCTGCAGCTGCAGCGTCGTCTCCTTCGAGGACGCGCCGGAGTAATGGGCGGCGGTCGACGTCGCGGCGCCGTTATGCGGCCGGGTGGCATCCAGCAGCACCTTCAGCGACGCTATCGCGTGCAGCTGCGTCGCTTTCTCGTCCACCTTGCCTGAACAGCACCAGAGATGCAGGTTAATGAGGGCAGAAGCACGATGCATTAGCTCCCAACCGTGCGATTATCTCGTAGTCGAATTTACAACCACAAAATCCGCCGCGTCTCCTTCGTGACGCGCACAATTTGTATTTGCAACATCTCGACTCTTTGCATCTCTTGCGCTCTTTGCACCTAGAACCGTCACTTGATGAAAGCTTTGTGTAACACACAAATTATAAGGTTTGTGCGTAAAGATCGAAAGTGTCCCACCATTCGGACCAAATGAGAAAACAGCGTGGTATCGTTGAAATTAAGTTCAGAAGCCTAAAAAGAAATCTATTCACTTAAATAAGTTATAAGTTAGGTAATCTATAACTTATTTTAGTGAATAGATTTCTTGTTAGGCTTCTAAACTAAATTCCAATGATACCACGCTGTTCTCTCTTTTGGTCCGAATAGTCGAACACTGTCGGTCTGTACACAAAAGCCACATAGTTTGTCTAGTACACAAATGTTTTCACCAATTGACAGTTCTAGGAGCAAACGGTGCAAAATTCAGCATCCCTTTAATTCTTCTAATGGAATAATATTGGACAGCAACAAATGTATTTCGTTATTAGTTAAATAAATCGCCGCGCTTGTTTAAATATGATTTTTATAATCGATAAACGAGTGCGCAAACTTTCGTCGAAAAATCGCAAAAATATTCGCAAAACTCGACAGTTGTAAACGTAGAGATAATTTCTGCTTTGGCGTTTAAGTGACTATTGGACTATCATTGGCAAAAAGCGTAGATATATCGCGTAGACATGCGAAGATCATGTTTAACCACGCTAATTACAACGTTTACGAGCGTGTCTGAATTGTTTTGTCAGATATTGAGTCGGCTTTACCGGCGCGTGCATTAGTGCCACCGCCGTACGTCATATCGGGGCAATTCGTTGCGTTCGAGCAAACTTCGCAATGCTCGCAAATTCCGCGCTCCGCCGAGTTCCCGATCGCGATCGGAAAATAGGGAAATGTCGTTCCCGCTCGGTGTGCCTTTTGTTCTTATTTTACGCCAGGCTGAGCGCCGAGACATTTACAAAATGTCGATCTGCGTGAGCCGCGTATCAAACTTGTTCTTACTCGCATCGTCGATTTCCCCGGCGAAACGTCCGGCGTTAAATCGGCGAGATTGAAAATGCAGCTTCGAGATAATCGCAAGATACATCAAAATTCGTCGCATGCAGCTCTATGTTCTAACCTTTACTTATAATTCTACAAAACGCACAAAATACTGTCGCTCTCGTCAAGGTGTACGTACGACGGACTTACTTCTACAAAAAAAAAATCTCCAACCTTAAGGGGACAGACGTGACTCATTAATTCACTTGGAAAGTGATTCTCGATCTAAAAGTCTATCGGTCTGCGAGCATCCTTCTTGAGTTTTTGTAAACGCCATTAATTTATTATATGTCAGCGGCTTGCAATGCGAATGCAAACGTCGATTCTTCATCGTGCAAATGAAAAAGAAACAAGACTGAATTTTTTAACTCCATAACATTTTACGAGAACCTCGCGCAACCAGTGTATGCATTTTATCACAATAATCAAAATGTTAATTAATTTAAAAAACAAATAACCTCATGCATATATAATGCATCTACATTATATAAATATATATATTGTCTACAAAATTTATCGAGAACAAAAATTACCATGCAAAACAGGAGAGTTCATTTTGTTTGATGCTAAAGTCTAAGTGTATGTTTGTTTTAAAATTATACGAAAAGTCATTTCTCTTGAAAAATCGCCTTCTACCGAAATTAAACCATTGCCAAGTATTTAAATAGTAACGTTGCATAACATCGTTTCACATGAAATATAAAATGCGATAGAATTAATGGCGTATGTAATATGCGTACTATAATATTCGCTGCGTAGGTATCTAATTTCACTTCTGAAGTGATGTGCAGCATGCAGCAGAGCATAGAAATGCGTTCGCGCGGCGCCACGAAAGTTATGAAAAGTTAAAGGCAAATATTAAAATTGAAAAGAATAAGATGAATGGAAGCTTCCATTTTGCGGGGAGCGTGCATTCACTTTTATAGAAGAGTATAATTTTATCCCGGGAACAAGCTTTTAATATTTTGTTACCCGTATTTCCCGAGCCTGGTCAAAATTAACTTGCATTTAATCCAATGCGGACCAATTATTGCTGTAAATTTAGCATAGCCTAAGCCGACGGACGTGAAATATAAATACATAGATAGGAGCAGGACATTTCTCTATGTATAGATGATGCACGTCCGTTTCCGCTATATACAATCCACAGTGCGCCGTGTGTACAGATCATGCATAATTTAGAACGTACATGCTCTATAGACAGCTTTAGGGAGAGAATTCGAGAACTCGGTCTTCTCGCTAAAAGGGATCATCGTTATTTCAACAAGTAGTCGATCAATCGACATTATCTATTTCTCCGAGTGGGAAACCTTTCCGTGATCGTAAGGCTCTTCCTTCGCGTTCGTTCGTAACCTTCGTTAATAAACGAGAAGTAGAATTATCGCACGTGTGATTAGGAAATACTCGATTCAGTGAGACTTGAATGATTTCGCGGTGAGAGCGTAACGATTTTATGCGACGAATTAATCGCTTACACGTATTCAATCCATTTGACGATCATTCGAACGTTAATGGGTCTTGCGTGCAATAAAGGGAGACAAATCTGCACGATCGTATGTCACTACCTGCCCCACTCACTCGATCGCGTATATAGACGGAATATCCGTTTTGTATTGTGTTGCATCGTAAGAAAAAAAAGATTCTAAAAATAGAGAAACACAGGATACAGGGGAAAAAGGCATTATTCGTGGACTTTACATTACTCTCTCCGCTACTCCCTTGCACGGTGATAATTACGAAAAATTGCAACGCGATGAAATTACCTCGATAGCTGCCGAGTATCATTGGATCGAGCCGAAATATATTTTCGGGCAAACTCTGCAAGTCGCCGTAAAAATGCGCTCGTCGGAAAGTATCGCGAAGTAACTAACTAACAATCTGTTTTCGCGAACCCAGTTGTGAGGTGCTCCAAATATGTCGGTTACCGCGGTTCGTGCGAACTTTTACTGCCGCTCGCTAGGAGCGGCAGCAGCAGGTCGAAACGAAAAGTAGACGGGTAAAAAAAGAAGAAAAAAAGAGCGCGCGGAGAAACTGCAAATTCGGTATTACATGGAAATAGAATAGAGTAATTCTCAGCGGTAACGTAGTTTGTTATTTATTTCGGCCCTCTATATGCAACGCGCATACGTCTATAGCTTTTTTTTTTATATCTGAAAAATTGGATCTCCCCGCGATGCATATAACGCGGGTCCAATCGTACACGGCGCTTCCGGTAAAAATTAAAAAAAAAAAAGAGAGAATATAATTGCGCGATAGCGATAAAAAATATCCGCGGTGCGTGTATAGATGTTGCAGGCTCGCAGAGCCGTTTCGGATGTAAGGCTTTGTTACAAAAAATGATATCACTTTTCAACCATTTACGGTTTAGCGTTTCTGCGGGTTTGCAAAAAGATACGGGCGCGATAGCGAAAGGTCACTTCGCGTGAGCAACGTCATATCGCGATTATACTTTTGATAAACAAACCGTTGCGGGATCAAAGACTTGAGGGTTGATTCGAAATCGATTGCGACGCGATACGATCTGGTGGACTGACTGAAGCCATGATCATTGCTCTGTCCGTGGCGTGAATCGAGCTTAAAAAGGTCTACCTAACTCACCGCTTATCGTGCTTCGTGCCAAGGGATCGCGGATCTGCGTGCCGATGCCGGCAGTAGGTCAAAGAGAAAAAGCTCGAGTAAGTGGCCTTCATCCCCGAAGAGGTGGGAACGAGGCGAGAAAAGAAAGGCGAAGAGCCCGGGGCTGGAAAGTAGAGTGCGATAGTAGGTATCGACCCCGAGGCTGCCCGGAGCGAGATGCTAAGCCAGAAAGAGGAAGCGGGTCGAGGGGGGAGAGGGATGGGTCAGAAGAAATGGCGATGAGAGAAAGAGAGAGAGAGAGAGCGAGAGCGAGGATGAGGTCGGTTAGCTGTCGTGTCTCAATCTGTTAAGCTCACAGTCGATTACTAGTTTCGAAATGGAGGAAAGTCTCGCTCGGGAGTGTGTATAACATAGAGAATCGGAGAGTTGGTAGGTTCGTAGGTCGGGCGTGATATGGGAGCGGGCTCGACAGGGCAGTCAGGGCACTGCCTGTTAACCCACAAAACTCAATCAAGCCGCGTTTACTCAGGCTGCCAGGGGCCTCTCTCGCTTTATAAACAATTAAAAGCGTCGGCTGTCGAGAAGCAGAAAAGTGACATCGAGTAACGCGCCAAAGTTTGCGACGCGCTCGTCGGAAATGTTTCCTACGGTTGTCCGACAGCAGGGAAAATTCGTGCATAGTTAAAGACTACGGGCGCGCGGAAGGCTAACAAGGGGTGTCCTGTTCTCCCCGCGTGGCGGAATAACAGCCACTATGTTAACAGGTGACACGCTTTCGTATTTGTCGAGTCGCCGAATCGAGCGCAATGTCACTCGGGCGTATAGAAAAAGAGGGCTCTAAGAGGGCTCAGCTGTGGGTCGATTCAAGTTGGATATCAATCAACGATCGAGTCTCTTGGTCTAATTGAGACTAGAGTCAACTTTTATCAATTATTAACCTTGACTATTTTATCGTGTTAAAAAATGTTATTTCAAATTTTGATCGCAGAAGAAACGCATTTTTAATTATTTACGCACAAACTTATATTAAACAGTTGATTGAAGGAATTTATATTATTCAATATCATTTGCACGTACGGTTAGTGACCGAAAGATTCTCACTACATATGTCTCTTATATAATCCTCTAATTTATCTTAATACACCTCGTCTTCGAAGGAGGTTCAATAATGCACAGATTGATTAGAAGTTCAGGGCTCAGGTTGCATAGAGAGTCACCTAAATCAAGGACCGTTAAATCCCTGAAAGCACCGAACAAGTCGATCAGAAACG